TTTTTTTTTTTTTTTTTTTTTTACAAGTAAATAGTGTAACAGTGCTTAAACGATACAGTTTTTACATTCTACTAAAATTTATCGTCTTTATTTTGCACTTACTCTTAAAATAATTATTTGTTAAATTCTTTTTTTCAAACCAACAACACATTTGGAAGCCACTGACTGTAAACTTTGTTGTTTTTTTTTAACCCTAAAAATAAGTTTTTCGTCATAGTTCACCCTTTTCCGGGCAACCGTCAAAAGTGATTGCTGGATGCAACCCAACGAACTGTAACAGTGCTTAAGTTAAATCACATTTTTTTTTTTCTCCTTATTCTTCTCATCGGAACACCGTTTTTCGGTTCCGTTTTCCATTTAATAACTTTAAACTAATGGGAAAGCCAAAAGAAAAAAAAAAAAGGTGAAATAAAATAAACATAAACATCACCAAACTTTTTAACACTTTTCTTTTGGTATCCGCAATTACCGGTCTTCAGTGCGTTTTTGGCCATTCAGTAAAAAAAATGTTATTTTTTTTTGGCAAAAAAAAGAAAAATTCTTCTTTTGATTATTGGTAATAAAAAAAATAATAGAACTTTAAAATAAGTTGTTTTCATTACTTTAGAAATATATAATTGATACAAAAAAAAAATTTTGAATAATTTCTAAGTGGAAAGAAAGAAAAAAAACAAAAACGAATAAAGACGATGTGGTGAAATGAAAAATAAAGTTTGTTAGTGAAGATATTTTGCTAAAAAAGATGAGGTAACTGTTGGAAAAAGTAAAATTTAAAAGGGACAATAGAAAAACCGTTTTTTCAAAGTGTGAAATGAAGAAAGGGGTCAAAAAGGAAAAGTTATCAATAAGCTGTTTCGTTTTCATTCCCTTTTTGCTTCTACGTCCCTGACTTTTAATCCAATTGGCGCTGATTTTCTTCTGCTTGAGAAATTAGAAAATTTATTTCATTCCTATGAAACAGACAAGCATTTTGGATTCTTCATGTAGGCCTCTTCAACAATTAACTATTGCCACTTGATGTTCATTAGAACTGAGCATAAATTCAAACCAATTGATGCTTGCCGGTTTTCTGCTTTTTCTACGGTGGTTTTTGTGTCTGTTAGAAAATGATGGTGGTGGCAGTGGTGGTAGTGTTGGCACAAATTAGCCAAAAAAGATAAGCCAACCAAAACTCGGTCTAAATTAGTCATATCAAAGCCATTTATGTTTTTGAATTGGCGACAAACAAAGTGTTGTCGTTGTATAGGCAGAAAGCATACAAAGTTCCCTAACATTTTCATCCTCAACTGTTGTTTTTGGTTTCTGCCTATCCGTTATCCGAAATTTCTTCGTTTCCCTGAACCCCGTCTTCTTCATGCCCTAAATTTTATGCCTGTTCATCTGCATCTTACTAAACTGTTGCACATTTCCCTTACAGCTGCAGTGGTATCTTAAAAAAAAATTGTAGGGAAAAGAATTGAACATTATCTTGGTTTTATTCTGAACAGCTTCACAATTTGTTTTCTTAGTTTTGGCAACAGTTTGAAGCATTTACTGCTCCTGTTGTTGTTGTTGCTGTTGCTGTTGCTGCTGCTGTTGCTGTTGATAGTGATGGTTATGATTATGGTTATGTTGATGGTGTTGGTGGTGTTGTTTGTTGTTTCAACATATCAGTGCTCAGCAATAATTCTTCCGCAATTGATTTATTAAACAAAAATAAGACTTTTGAAGGGGGGTGGAAGAGTGGAGAGAGAGGGGATCAACTGCATAATGTGTTTGCATCAACTGCAAAAAATCACATCTAAATGAATTTTTATATTCATATTATTCACTGAAACATTTCTGTTAAATCACTTGGGAATTTGAATGCAACATTAGAAAAAAAAAAGAAACAAAAAAAAAAAGTGGGATAAAAACGTAACAAAATGGGAAATAAAAAGTTGGATTTTTTCTTTATTTTTCTGTTTGCAAGATAAAGATTCAACAATTCATTTACCTATCATTATCATCGTCACTTTTTTTGGTTGAATTCATTACATCTATTTTTCATTTCCGTTTTGCAAACACACAAAAAAAACGAATAGGAAGATAACATAAATGAACATTTTTTTTTGTTTTTTGCTTGTTTTTTCGCTTCCTCTAATCTAATAAATTCATTTTTTTCAACCTAGATGAATAGAAAATTTGGTTGCTGCTGCCGTTACTGTTTCACTTGAATCAAATTGGTAAACAGTTAGTGAATACCAAAGATTTGGCAAAGAAAACATTTGCCCTTTTTTTTTCTACATTTTCCACTTAACTATTGTTGTTTAACAAGAAAAAAAATAAAGAAATTTTCTGCAACCGAAGTACAATTTTTTTTCTTGCAGTATTTCAAAAAGCAGTTTTTACTTCTGTTTTTCCTTTTTTCTCCTTTATTTGACACTTTTAAATTGTTTTCCACAGTTTAAAACACTTACTGCCCTCTTTATCCTTCCGTCATCACTTTTGTTTTTGTTCATATAACAAAAAAAGGACAAAAGAACAAAAAAAAAAGAGCAAAAAACAAGAAAAAACAATATGGCAAAAAAGATGAATGACAACTTTGACAGTTTTTTTTTTTTTTTTTGCTGTTGTTTCTGTTTTTTCAACTGTTGTTTCTGACCATTTTTACTGGTGGATAAGATCCCCTGAATTAGCAACCGTGAAATTCTATCAAAACAATTGGGTGCAGCCACAGCAAAGATGGGTATTATTTTAAGCCGATTATCAGCAAAACAATCGTATCGGTCATCCGATAGTATTTTTGTTCACTCAGTTGAGTCATTTCACTCGATATTGTACAGCATTTTTCTCCTTCTAATCTTGTTTTTTTTTTCCATGAAAAATCCTTAAAAAGTTAGATTTATATAAGAAATGTATTCTTCTGTTTCCACTTCCTTTTGCTTTCCGTTATCCTAATTTTTTGTTCTGTTTTGTTTTTAATAACAAAACGAAAAAAAATGCAAAATGAGGAATAAACGCAGAAGATCAACAGTCAGTCAAATAAAACAAAAAAGCAGCTAAAAAAATTGCCTAAGTAATTAATCATCAAAAATTTGTCGGCAGATTTTATGTCCTTAATTTTTTTCTTTGCTTTTTTTGGCAAATAGTAACCACAAAAAAAAAATCAACAAAATTAAGACAGAATAACAATAAAAAAAAAGAGAAGAAAATTAACTGAATAACTAAAAATTTTTTTTCATCAGAGTCTCGCCCACTCTCTCTTCCTTTTTTTCCCCTTGTCAGAAAAAGATCCACAAATTTCTTTATAAGGTTTTTTTTAAAAGGGAGGGAGTAGGTTAAAAGAAGAAAAGAACTGTGAAAACGACAGCCCAAACAAAGAAATGACTGATATGGGAAGAAAATGAAGGAGTTTATGGGCACACTTTTTTGTTACCATCCCTCATTTGTTAATGACTGTTAGACTATTGAGAAAGATGTGCTTTGCTTATTCATCACAGAAAGTCTTGTCTCAACCCAGTATTCTCCTCAATCAGACTATGTGTTTTAGATTATTATTTATTGAGATATTATTGTGCGCTTATCTGTGACAGCAATCAAAACGATGAGTAGTAGAGCCACAGCTCTGTGCCGATAGGCTGAAAAATCTATTCGGTGCCGCTGCTGTTGCAACGAATGAGAAACACATGCACAAGATCCACGATGATCTTGAGGGTGTCACGGTTTTTGAAGTATTATTTACTCATCCGTTGCCCCGGAGGACTCGGGTAACAAAAATGACAGCAAAAGTTGCATGATGAATCCGACACGATGGCAATAGGCAGTTGCCTCGAACTGGTTACCACTGGCGGCAACACGGAGACCAGTGGTGGCTGCTGCCACTGGACAGTGGTTATTGGATCCATAACCGCTGCTGGTCAGCAAAACCCCAACATTTTCCCCGCGCTCCATTGCACCAAACATTCATCCTGTTAGTCCCTGCTGATCTCGTAACCGACGTTCTGAATCCATGTTGAGCAGAACGCACTAACAAGTCATCTTTGTTACGCAATCAACAAAATATCTTTATATGGTCATCGTCCCTCTCGCTTCCTCACTTTTTATCTTTTCATTTCTCGTCCCCACCCTGTTCATAAATTGTTTACAAACGGTAAGCAAATGAAATTTGCATAAGTGGAGATGGGGGAACCACTTGAGTTGCATTTTGCGCGTTTGTAGATAGCAGATTTCCACAAGCATCACCACTATTGTTGTTTTGACATCATTATTGTCTTCAAATGAGTTTGATTCCTAAATTTCATTGGCAAAAAAAAATGTGTTTCGATTGATGTGAACATTTTAAGAGACCGTGAAGTTTTCAATAGGAAAACAAAAAAGCACTGAAAAATTTAGTGACAAAATCAATGCTCATAAAACACACTTATGTATACACTTTCACACACAACTACACATACAGTTTCCCGATCTATATACATATATCTGTTTTTAAAATTAATCCACTGGGAACACAGACATTTTTAAGAGAAATAATT